GAAAGCTGTTCTTTCATTCCCCTTTGTTATCTTTGTGTCTTCATTTGCTCATCTTCCCTCGAATCTTTCACCTTTACCCCAACATGCAACTCCTCTACCGAAAAGTTTCGGAAAAAACCCTTCTTCAATTCTTAACAAATGAAAATACCATATTTAGACATAGCATTGAGAATTGAATCAAAAAAGTATAAACATGTAATGTCTGCAATAGGAAAGAGACCTGGTTCCATCAAAAAATATTTCGGCCAACTGCACTGGCACAGTAACTTAGAAAAAAAAAAGTTTTCTCATAATCAACATAATGGAAAGCGCACACCATATTCGGATAGAGCATTGAGAATTGAATCAAAAAAGTATAAACATGTAATGGCTGCAATAGAAAAGAGACATGGTTCTATCAAAAAATATTTCAGCCAACTGCACTAACACAGTAACTTAGAAAAAAAAAACTTTTCTCATAATCAAGATAGTAAGAAGCGCATACCATATTCGGATAGAACATTGAGAATTGAACTAAAAAAGTATAAGAATGAATACACTACAAAAGAGGTGAAGCTTTACCCTATCATACCATCCCCGCATATGGAGAAAGAGAATGAGAATTCACAGACTAGTTCACTCGAGAACAATCGGGAACAGAAGAATAAAATCACAATGTAAGAAGAAGGGATTGTTAATTGGACAACAGCTCTCCGATCTGAGATGTAACATCCAGTCAATTGCGGATGAAAATAATACAAGCCAAAGGAGGGAGGAAGCGCAAGACTGACTCTCATTGGTTTCGAATAAACTTCTATTTCCATGACAGGAGTGGGAAGCGGGGGAGATTGAGAATACGAACCAGAAGAGGTTAACATAAGCTGAATTCAATGAAGATGAAGCTTATGACTTCAATATAATACGCGAAAACAAAAATATTAAACTAACGATTAAGCGGCAACATAACAACTCATATGTAATATCGATTGATTACTTATGTCTGCAGATGGAGAGAAAAAAGAAAAATCAATAAGCAGTAGATAAAACAACAACAAGCTACAAACAAGGGTTCAATGATATGAGCTCAAAAGGAGAAAATGGTGGGTATTGAAAGGATTGTCTGGCACAGGACGGTAGGCATTTGAAAAAATTTGAAATAAAGTTAATCATAATCTCTTGCTCTTTAAGAGTTTTCATTGAGTATACTTTTCCCGAACCGCTCAGTTGAAGCTCTTGAATATGAGAATGAAACAAATGACCGCTAACTCGTACGTGTTGCTTGTGAATGAAATGTAACACCGCTCAACTCACGTGAAATTTGTGAAAATGAAAGACGCTACTCAATCACCGCCTGCCAACTTGATTTTCCAGTTGCACGACCGCTCAGTTGAACCTCTTGATTATGAGAATGAAACAAATGAACGATTACCCGTACGTGTTGCGTGTAAATGAAATGTAACACCGCTCAACTCACGTGAAATTTTTTAAAATGAAAGACGCGGCTCAAGACTATCCCTCATGTTATTTGAAATGTGAACGAATAGAACTCTCTAGCTCGTGGCACAAAGTACAATCAATCGATAGTGCCATAGAAAGAGAAACAGCATCAAACAGAGCATGTTTCAGTTTGTTCTTAACCATACTTGTTATTGTAAATACTGGCTCTGTGATTTGAGTGAAATATAGAAAAAGGGAAGAACTTGAAAAGTAGAGAATATGGAGTGCGAACTGTTTGGGAAGAAGGAGAAGAAACGAAAATTAATAGTTTATGCTTGTTTATAATCGTTTAAACAGGGATATTATTATTATTATTATATTACATAGTTTATCACAATTAGCCGAAGAAAAATCTTTTTTTTTCTGACTGAAAATGAACTGTAATTTACATTAAAGGAAACTCATAACAATCATTTCATGAAAATATGTGATTTTCGAACAAAATTTCACAGAAACAAATGCGATGAGCGAAAAGAAGTCAAATACTATTTGTACACGAATAAGTAGAATACTGTACAATTTTCGAAGAACTACTCCGCAAAAACTTAACAGGGAAAAACTAAAATGAAAAAAAATGAAAAAGTCGCTGAGCAATGAAGAGAGTTGGTTGTAATGATGATCCTGGATAGAGTGGGGCTAGACATCACTGAAAATACAATATTTTCGAGTTTCTGGTTTTGGTTGTTTCTTTTGGTTATTTGATTAAAAAAAAACAAATCATCGAAAGACATGGTGCTAAACATCTTGCAAAACATGGACAACTTTGTCGGTTAAATAAGTTATTTTGACGAAAGAAAACTTTTTGAAAATTGTTAAAGTATCAACAAAATGGAAAAGTCTGTCTTTTCGATCAATTTCTTGAAAACACATCGCATTTCATTGTATGCAACATAAAATATAAGTTGAACTAATATGCTTACAAACAAATTGATTGAATGAAATTAAGAGAATTTTTAGTTAACTGACGATGTCTCCAATTGGTTTTCAAGTATAAACTTGAGTAGTTCTTGCTGTTTGCAGCTTGATGTAGGTGTAGCTTGAGATATTATCGGCATAGGTGGCGGCGGAGGTGGCGGAACATCTGGTAGCGGAGGAGCTGGTGGTGAACGAGTTTCCAAGCAAACAGGCTGAAGCCAAGCTTATAAGGTTAAAAGTTTGATATACTTTTCGAATAAAATTGTTTTTTTTTGCAACAGGAAGTACAGAAAACTGAAACTAGAGAAAGAAAAAGAAAGGAAACCCTTCAAAATATGGAGAAAAAAAGGAAAGTTATAGTAAAACCAAAGTGAATTGTGAAATATCGACATAGAGAACAGGACTTCAGTTGTTCAAGTTTGATAAGAGTGCACCAAAAAGTCTTGTGTGTTATTGTTAAACTGGCATTCAAGCAAATAATTGTATGCTCGGAAAGTCAAAAAGCATTTTTACCTGATCCGATTCTTCTGTTAAATCAAGGCTGATATTGATGGTTGATTCGCTTGGACTTTCGTTGACAGCTATGGTTGAAATATGTGTTCTATTCATCTAAAGGTGTAAGTCTCAAGCAACGCAAACATCATTATTCTAATGTTTCTATCTCGAAAAAAAAGCAGTATGGGAAGAATTAAACACAAACATGCTACGTTTGAGTTAGTTTTATCTTAGTTTAATTACAAATAAGTAACTCACATCTAATGGGCAGCCATCAGATGATGATGATATTCCAGATGTTGAACTTCCGAAAGATTCAGATGAAGCGGCAACAGAATGAATTGACGTTTGGGAAGCTTGAGAATGACGTCGATTATGCTGAATCTTGAGACACGTGAAAACAATTCATTCATAATTCAAATGCATACCTCTCCAAGTTTTGCGGTTATTCTCCTACTGCTAGCTCCCATAGCCGAGCTGACATGATTCCATGAAAATCGCTTAAGGATACCACCTTGAACGACTGCTGCACCTTTTGGTTTCATATCAATAGCATCTGCTGTGTGATAACGTTTTTCGAATCTACGCCCTTGAGGAGGAGGATCTTCATCTGACGTCACAAGAAGTGTCGGAGAGCTATGATTTTCTTCTATTCCATTAACAGGTGTGTTAACTTCCCTAGAAACAGTTCGAAAATTACCAAAAAAAATTTATTCAGCAAACCGTGAGTCTGTTCGTCTTGATGGTGAAGGGCTCCGGGAAACACTTTTTGCTCCTTCAATATCTGGGCCAGAAGAATTGGATCGCGAACGAGGCCTATCTTCCGTGAAAGTAACAGTTTGTGCTTCAGCACCCAAAGCCATATGGAGGTCAACAGAGCTTCGACTAGTACTTAATGGATTAGCTACACAGCTCGCAACGCTCAGTTTATGCAACGGTGGAAGCCGCTGTGGAGAATCTAATCGATCATTGTAGCGGTTCAACTGTTCTGTAGAAGATACAGTGCCCATCCTATGCATATCTATTCTTTCACGATTACTTTATTGAACTAAAAGAAAAACGAACGATTCATATGAGCGTGGGCGTGAGCAATGGCAACTGTTTGCGAATCCATACTACTGCTCTTTCGATGTACAATTGACATATTCGCCAAATTTTGTGCTACTCCAGAGAATGGTCTACAAGATCAAAGAAATATGATAAGTATTAACTGAAAGTTTCGTACCCTCTTGTTGAGTCGTCTATAGGGGAATCATGAGGAAGAGTATAAGCTCGATGTAAATGTCGAAACTCGTCTCGCGCCATACCCAACAGTTCCGTCCACCTGATTGAGTGGAAAATATTAGTTTAAGAAGAGAATAAGTTACTTTCTCGTTTCTTCGACACCTCCAGTGTGCATCATGTAGAGTTGAGAGCATGTATGAAAAACATTCATGTGCAAAAGATAGAATCCCGCTGGAAAAAAGTGGTTATCTCAAATATATTTACGTAATACACATTTAGAAAAATATTTTTCACGTGAAAAAAAGAAAGGAGGTGACTTGTTCCTGTGACACTTTAATGTTTCATCTTAGCCATAATCGACGCAAAAGTGGGCTTGTTTCTCTTACTTATTATTCTATTTTAAATGCGAGGAAAAGAGGAAATCGTTTACAAACTTCAAAACTCAAAAACTTACTTCCATCAGGGAATGGATGACATATCAAACTTGTCAAATGCATTGGTGGCCTCGCAATCCGTAACCGATCTGCCTTTTTGCGGCAGATCAGGAACATATCGGTAAAGACTAAACAATACATTTCCATCTAAAACGAATTGAAGATACAATCTTTCTTTTTTCAACAAGTAAACCTTAGGTCCTTGCTTTCCTTCTCGGATTTTCAACTCGCCACGATGAAACAGACGGCGGTAAACCTGTACGTTCGGAGGAAAATATGGCATTGGATGAACCAAATCAAGACAGCATCGTTGTCCGTAAAAGATCTTCAGAGTAAACAAATCATAAAAAACTGATAGTCAATATTCTAAAACCTTTTCAAATTCATCTTGGTCTACACAGTCATAACTGTCAATTTGCGATCGAATTTCTTCTAACTGATGACGAAGATCGTTGTTATTCATTTCAAGATTTAACATATGAGTAGCTTCTTCGACTTGGTCAATCAAAGATTGAACAAGTTCTTTTTCCTGAGTTTCAGTAGAAGATCGCAGAACAGCCTTTAGTGAAGTGTTAAGCTCATTGAGAAAAGAATAAATGAAATCCTACCTTTAATAATAGACTGTATCTGGTTAATCTCTGCATTGGCATGGTCAACGTGTCACTTAGTTTCTGTCTTCTCATACTATCTTGAGATTCAGCCCACTAATTAAGAAATATATGTTTAGGTAAAAACTATGAATGAATGAATCTTACCGAAACAAATTCTGCAAAAAGATGAGTATCTTTCTGTTTCTTTTGTAAATAAAGAAGAGAATCGTTGTGTGAAGAGGTGAAAGCTGTGTAGTAATGAGCCCAAGAGATTATGGTTGAAAACATAGGCTTCAAATACGTAATGCTCAACGGACATCCTTTCGTACGTGACTGTTCTAACATGGGGAGAATGTTTTTCTCCCAAAATCTCTTGTGTTTATCAAATAATTCGTCATAATTAAGAAATACTTTTTCTACGGCAATATCTCTGAAAAGCAAAATGTGAGAAATACAAAATATAAAGGAAAAGAAGTCTGGGAAATAAAAAGAACGTGATGGATGGGGATTAGAACAATTGAAGAAGAAATTGATTGGGAGTGATCAGAATAGAAACTACATGAGCAAGAAAATGAAACTCACTTCAGGAACCCGTTTCTTTGCAATTCTTTTAAATATTCTTTTAAATCGGCCATATTTTTTAAAACCTAAAATGGTTGCAACTATGAAAGAAGAAAAAATAATATAATACAATACCTGAATATATCTACATTCTGTTGTAACTAATTCCCATATAGCTTCTTGCTGTTCCATACATCTTCTTGATAAATCTTGATTGTTTTGAACTATTATCTTCCAATGTTCTTCTAATTCCAAGAATGGTAGGGAAATGTTGGTGTTTTCCTTCATAGTCGTCAAACGATTTATAAGATCATTCTTTTCCTTAATTACTCGTATATCGTACACATTTGATTATAAGCAAAGTACTTTTCCGAAGAATAGACTGATTCGACTGGAAGCCAATGAACGAGCTCGTCGGGTTCCTCCATCGTCCGGATACATCTCAGAGCAAGAAGCTCCATCATCCAACATATTTATTTCTCTGTAATAACATCATCATTATAATTCTCTGAGTTCAAGAAGAAACAAGGTATTGCTTTTCAAAGATTGCTCAATACAATCATGGCACATATAATCTTACTTAGTTGAACTATCATTGCTTCTTCCTTCTGAAAAATCGTCGCTTCCGTTCAATTTGTTTTCTGAGTGTTGTCGAGATTTTGAAAGCTGCAATGAATCTCATTTATACTCATATAATTATAACTTTGCTTACTAGTCGACTGTTAACAAACGAAGATTTTCGACTGATTGCTTCTGCACTCATTTTTCGGCTAGGACGATCTCCCGGCGATTCATCCATAGAATGAGTGTTTCGGCTGTGATAGCCAACACGCATCACACTACGTCCTGCAATTATTAGAATAACATAATTGATCTCACTTCATTGTAATACAAGTATAATATAGTTTTATAGTTCAATGAGCTCAGGTTTTATCCTCAATCTAGATAGATTCATTGGAAAGTTTGCTCCAAATTCTATACAAGAAGAGGTGAAGATTTAGATTAGAACAGACTTCAAGTTCTTTTTTAGTTTATCTTTCTTCCACCAATGAAACATTTCAAAGAAGGAAATAGGAGAATATGGAGAAGTAGTTTGAGCATAAATCTCAAACATTCTTCTATTTTTTTATTCATTTTCTATTTGTTTTCCATTATTGGTTTTCAATCATACATATACGATTATTTACTAGTTTGTTTATGAAAAGGAAAATAATAAAGTCCAAAATGATTAAAAGAATTGGAACTGGCAAGAAAGCGAGGAAAACTATCCTCCTACACTTAAGGATAGGGCGAAAAAAAAAGACAACCGCTTATTCGCTCTGCAAGATGAAATATGAAATGACTGTCAGATCGGCGCCCACGTCATTTTCACGTAGAATCAAAACGACATAAATACATTAGAATATTATTTAGAAGGCGAACAGAGCGAATAGACCCTCCGTATTTGAAGAGACAAATAAAAATAAAATGAAAGAGAACAGTGAGAGCAAAGAGTGCAAAAATTTCGATAAGGATTAATCTAAGACCAATACGGGCAAACATGAACAAAAACATTAGCAATCTGATAAAACTTCGTTGTAAGTAAAAAGTTGTCTGTAAACTACGTTATTCAACCGTTTCAAAAAAAGTAAGCAGTTAAAAGAAGCTTGAAAATACAGAGAGTCAGTATAAGTTGTGAAGATGAGTTAGTTAACATCTAAAAGTAATAACGTATTTTGAGTATTGAATGAGTAAGAAGAGTGATAGTACTAAAGAACAGAATGGAGAAGAGAAGGAGGAAGGAGGGAATATTGAGTCTAAGATCTAATGTTATTTTGCAAAGAAAAAGAAACAGGATTGTGATTATAAGTGAATGTGTTACTTCTCATCTAGGAAAACTGAAATATCTACTGGAAAGCAGAGAGAAAGACAAGGATTTGTGACGAGTGAAGCAGACAAATTGAAAACAAGGAGAACACGAAAAGCTTGGATACAATCAATGTCTTTGCTCGGATACACACCCATATGGTCATAAATATATCCATTTTACACTTTTTTCATAGAAATTAATTTTAGACAAAATGTGACTTTTTCAATTTGATATTCTCATCAGAAATTGAACACAAGTGAAACATGTGGAGAGCAAAGAAAAGCAGAATCATTCTAATCTCGGAATCTTGGAAATGAAGTTTTAATCTTCAAAATATAAGTTTATAGAATCAAAAAAAAATTGGTGAACACTGATCGCATTTCTGTCTAGAGGGAATACCTAAGAATCATCGAGCAACGTTTGAGAACGAAACAAATATTCCGAATTCATGGAAAGCAGCAGTCTAAACATTTTTCCGAAACATAATGGAATGAAGAAGAAATTAACCATAACCATTAATTCATAAAATATTCAATAAATTTTCTTTCCTGCGAAGAAGTGATGAGAGAAGAGATTTTTCCATGAAGTCAGTTAGTTAGACAAAAAAAGAAGCAATAGAATGATTTTATGAACTTCAACTGAACGAGAAAATCTGAAGAAGCTGTTTAAAGAGGTCAAAGAGTGATAAGGTTCTCCTAATAAAATTATTATCAATATAATCAGATAATAATAGTAATAATATATACAAGGAAGTATATAATGAAAAAATTTTAACAGAAATTTTACGTATCCACGAGAATGATGATGAACAAGTAAATTCGAAAAAGTTTCGGATTAGAAACAAACATGTTGGAAACAATAATAAGAAATAGTGAACGTAAAAGTTTTCGACAATCGTATGATGGAGATAGAAAGTGAGAGGGTGAGTGCCAGACATTTTTTCCACAGCTAATAAAGAGTAGAGCGACAACGATTATTAAGATGGAAGCACGATAACACCTTGTTAAAGCCGATTGAGCTGTCTGGTTTGTCTGTTTCAACTCTTTCAGACGTGTGATGACGTCGTCATTGTTTCTTTCGTTGTTCGACAGGAGGCATTTTTGTGAGAAACCGGAACGTTTCTTTTTTGGTCGGAATGATATAAGTGAATGTAAGACGATTCTCATGGCAATTTAATGGTTTAGCAGTGACTCTTCTCTCAATTTGTTGTCACAAAAACGGATATTCACCCCAACAAACGATCATTGGTGTCTTTAAATCAGCTTAAATATGTACAATTAAGATAAAGCTGAAAGAAATTGTTGAGTTATCCTTCCTTCTTCCCACTTCACCAATAAATTTGCATTTGATTTTCTCCAAGCTATGTTTCTTACATGTGTTAGCTGATGAAAACAAATGAATGATAATCTTTCTTCGAGTATTGAAATGTTTTTTTATAATTTTCAACTGTCAATCAGATCTCGAAATAATGTTAAGGAGTCTTTAGAAATAGTTATGGATATAATAAAGAGGCTCCTCTTCTTTCTTGTCATTCTTGCGCCACAGCTTCCGTAAAGCTCTTATTACATCCTAATTTGAGACAATTTTTGTTCCAAAGGTTATTAGAAGTTATTTGAAATACAAGGGAATTGATGAATTGATGAGCAAAGAATGAATCCAAATCTTTTGTTCCTTACTTTTCTACTTTACACGTAGTGTAGGTAATACAGCTAAGCCAACGTATGATAGAGCAGATCAAACGAATGAATAGCTATAAGCAAGGAACTATTCAAAACAATATCTCACAAAGCTTCAACACGAATAATAAAACTGATAGGATAACGAAGTGGAAATAAAGACAACTGAGCAACAGAAATCCTGTGACTTACCAAGTTTCCGTCTGAAGAAAAGAACTTCGTCGTCACACATAACTGATTGAAATCCAGCAAAAAATAATAAAAAATTAAGAAGATGGAACTACCAGTTTGCTCTTGATTGTTCAAATGGTGTTCAGAATCAAATAAACAGTCGATTTCTTTTCTGTCTTCTTTTTACTGATCGTCGAGTATGAGTAGGAAGATTAGGAATATTTTAAAAAAATATATTTATTGCTATTGGGGAGGAGGAGGGGACGATAGATATGAATCGCTGAGAATATATGTGAATTTCCTTAATTAGTGAGCTTCGAACTGAATGCCAAATTTGTAAATTCTCTTCACATTCGATAGATTATGAGAGAATATACTAATAAGGAGAGAAGCAGCGAAAAAATTTGCGAAAGAATATGACGGCAGTAAACGATTGTACGACGTCAGAAACGATGAGCTGATAATCAACTTGGAATAAATTGTTTATCTGATTATCCGTTAGAATATAATCGATTCCCAAACGTTGTCTTAATTGTGTTGATAATGCTCGAGAGGTTATTCAAGCTGAGAATATATGAGGCTCGAGAAAAATCGCCAACTATCAAAAATAAAGAAGATATTCTGACGATTGGAATGAACTAAATTCAGAAATGTAAGAAGAGGGCGGAGTGAATGTAGGTAAGATATAGGGAATCATTCATGAGTCCATGTCATATTTAGCTAAGTATATTTTTATGTATGTGAAATATACTTTTCCATTCGAACATACACAATTAATCCGATATAAGCCGTGTATGTAGAAAGAGGAACAAGGTTGGAAGCCGTTGATTAATCAAATTGAGAATTAGGCAATTACAAGGAGATAAACTTGCAATATTTTAATTTATCTCACAATCAATTCTCTGTTATCTCTTAACGCCGAAGATAGATGGAACCAGAGAAAAAGAATAAAAAATCTTTTTTTTTCGGTCGATCAATTCAGGAACTCCGGAAAATGATTGGTTGAAGAAGGATAAAACAGAGAAGATGAGAGAATCTATCGGTTTTACAGATGCTCGTCTCCATGGAAACTTCCTGACTCAAGAAGATGTCAACAAACAGAAAAAACGAAAAGAAAGAACTGTAATGAATGAATCAATCGACAAGAATTTACAAACAAATTCTCAGTGCTCTCATACAAGGCAAAGCAATCTGATGAATCGAAAATTTAAACCATCAAGAAATCCAATCAACATAACATTCCTACGCATAAAACGATTCTAAAAAGTTTTTTGCATAGAAAAGTGGAGTGTGGTAGAGACAAACTGTTAAACGTGTTGTTATAGAGCTCATGAAGAGAAAACAAATCGAAATGAGCGAAGGATATGAGAGGAGAAAAAAATAGAGATCAACCGTTCTTTTACTACACGTTTCTGAAATAAAAATGTACGCCAACTTCACGCGGATACAACAATGTGAAAACTGCTTGAGTAATTTACATAACTTTACGTTCCTTAATTGAAGAAGGTATAGAAATTAATACCTTCACTAAAGCATAGAAAGAAAGGAAACTAGCTAGAAGCTAGCCTTCAAGAGGATTCGTCTCTCTCATCTCATTTTAGTCTACCTCATTTTCACTTCTCCTCAATTCTGCAACCGACAAAAAAAGAGGAAATGTGGAAAGAGGATGAGAGGAGAAGAAGTTAGAGTAGGTGAGCAGGAAAAAGAAGAAAAAAAGAAAAGAAGTTGATGATGTCAGCAAGTCTTCTCTCTTCGAAGTAATCTTCTACGATTCACGTTTTCCGAAAGAAACGTTGAACAAGTTAAAAATAACTGAAGAAACAAAGGAACGCTGTCCAATATTAGTCTTTCCATCATTTTCGAAAAAGGAAATACCGACTTTTCACATTTCTATCCGCCCTTCAATCTCATACAGGCTTGAAACATGCGCTAATTTAAGCATAATCGAAGCGATGACGACACAATTCAGCAGTTGAAAATAATTTTCGAATGCCTTTTACAACAAAAAAAAAAGAAGAAAAAGAGCTAATTTTCAAAAAAAATTAGCATATAAGCATGTTCTATTCC